TATATATATATATATATATATATATATATATATATATACATATACACACACACATACACACACATCAGAACTGGAATTGAATTAATTTGTTAAACTATCACAGAAATTTCAAATTATGTAAGCATCTACCTTATGTGTACTACATGTCCTGCCCATCTCATCCTCTTTTAGTCACCCTAATATTTAGTAAAGAGAATTTATGAATGGATGTAGAAGGCTAAAATATGGTAACATTTTTCAACATTGCTCATCATCAATTGTAGTAGGAATGCAGAACTAACGATCTGGCAGTTCCGAGATTTTCACACACTACTATCACCAAACTTGAAGAAGAGTTCTTCAGAAACTGTCACTCAGACAGCGAAGAAATTTCCCACTTTGGTGGAATCAAAAAGAATATTGTTCTTTACAAAATCCCATCTTCTATCATCATCAGTAACAGAAATCCTTACCTCGAGAACATTACAAATAGATTCCCTAGCTTTATCCAAGCTGTCACATTTATGGATGTGGATTTCTCCTTGGTCATTGTACCCTGCACCAGACACCTATGAGGGAAAAGTACAACATATGAAATATCATGGTTAAGCACCATGATTCAGACCAGTCCCAAAAACACCTGAAATGATAAACACAAAAAAGTTTATCTGCATTACCAGCACAAAAGATCTGAAGTCTGAAGTGAGGAAAACCTTGCACATACAGAAACAGAAACTTGATTGGGCTAAATGTTCTTATGTATAAGTTTATACAAGTTAAATTAATACAAAATATTCCTTTCTACTGAAATACAGTTATGATGGTCTCTGAACATTATAATATTTTTATCACCAGGTTTTGAACTAGAATATGGAAAGACAAAAATTCCTGAACTGGGCGGTAGCAAGTAATCCCCGAATTTAAACGATATTTGATTAAAAGCAACTAAACATTACATCAATAATAGATTTTATAACACTGTACTGGAAAAACTGGAAAGAACATGTACACAGAATGATTTCAGGCAGGATACCAAAAATTATTTTAGGATAACACCAAAAAGGAAAGATATGTATGGGCCAACCCCTCAAGGATGGAAGGATTGTTATGTAATGTCGATAACAGGCCATGAGGCCTATAGTGAAATGGAAGAATATAAAAAAGAAAAAGATTTGATTTCACAATGAACAAACAATTTTACCAAAATGCTAAAAAGCAGCGTCTATTTTGAACATTAAAGAGTATATCTTATGTTACCAACTCACTACATGCAGCAGAGGCCTGTGATGTTCATATGCATTCAGCCAGCCAAAACGTTCACTACCTTTCACAGAACCCAAAGGTTCATTATCAGCTTCACAGGAATTTGTTGCAGAAACCTATTCCAGTATGTAGACAATTTATTTCGTGAGAAAAATTTGAACTTCTTAAAATCATCACAGAAGTTATTGTGTTACTCACCTCAGCAAGATAACCATCAGACGTCACTATAACAGTGACTGTCATTTCATTTTTTGTAATGGTTCCAGTTTTGTCAGAACAAATTACATTTACACAACCTGAAATAAAAGAAAAATATCGCAGCACAGAAATAATTTCATAGCAATTCATATGTATATTATACTGTTAAAATGATATCCCATAATCTATAATACAAAATTAGTTCAAGTAGCATCAGCATGGAGAAAACTTACAGCACACAAAATGTTGAAAATTATTCTGTCAAATAACGTAGTATTAACTGGTCAGGAAAGCTAGCAATGGCTGGGGGTTCATCGTGCTCACCACACGTCACCCTATATCTGGTTGGATGATCGTTCACCTCTGCTTAGGCATGTGAACGTGAGGCCAGCAGTCAAGCTAGTCGGCTTTGGCTCTCTGGAGCTGTATTGCCACGGATTTAATTTTTTAATGTAGTATTAATCTAAAAAGTGGCTATGGAAATACATAGTACATCCAAGACAAATATATAAACGGTACAGTTGTAAAACCAAAATGCACAATTGCGCTAATAAAAAAGCTCACATGCGTGTAGTCCTGAGTCAGTTCCGTCCACTTCCCTCCACATCTGACCATCTGCTTTCCTTAAAATATCATCCTCCCACCTACTAGTCAGTCTTCCAAGTGGGTGTTTCCCTAAATAATGTTCTAACCAAAATGTTATATGCATTTTTTTTTCTCTCCACCATGTTCTGCCCTGCATAAACTCCTAAATTATACACAACTACCAACACTAAGCAACCAGTGCAAATAAAAAAAGTTCCTTGTTATGAAATATCCTAATTACCCTCCTCCTGAACCAGATAAAAAAATAAAAATTCCACTTTCATTTGAATTTACAGGGTAATGTCAGATTCACGTACACATTCTAACATAAAATTATTGCACTGATTACATAATTACAAATGAAAGTCTATTTACCCAGAGTTTCAACTGTAGGTAATTTCTTGACAATAGCATTGCGTTTTGCCATTCTCATGACGCCAAGTGCCAATGTGACAGTAACAACAATTGGGAGTCCTTCAGGGATCGCTGCTACTGCCAGACTGAAAAAGAATGACAGATAAATTTCAATGCCACATGTTTTACAGTACTACATAAAACATAAAGATAACCTTAAATAGAAAGATGGAAAGGCTGGAGGAACACAACATTCTACACAGAAACAAACTTAACAACGGTTGAATATATTTCATGATATAAAATGTTATGGTAATGCCAAACAAACTTGAAGAATTGCTTTCCACCCAAGATGTTTAAACAGATGTTAAATTGTTACTGCTGCCATTAAATATATTATAGTATTAATGTGGAACAGCCTTTACTAGCATACTGCTCACACTTCATGATAATTGGTAAACTGGTTTCAAGTTGTAGTGTAATGGACACACACAAAAACTGTCATACAACAAGCACTTTTTCTTTATTCAAAAATGAAAGGATAAAAAGTATCATAAATGTAGATGCTGTAACTGACTTTATTTGCACATTCTTAAGTCAGTACAAAACTTATTTCTTAACATTTTGAAATCATTGCTCCCTGTCTAAAATATTATTAACACTCGACAATAACAATAACCAGGAAATGTCAAAAAAATTTTACATTCTTACCTCACACCAATAGTGAACATGTCTAGAATAGGTCGTCCCTGAATCCAACCGAGTATCATTATGAGACCAATTATACAAAACGAATAGAAGGATAACTGGGTTCCCAAAATATCCATGCTCTTCTGAAGTGGAGTTTTTGGAGCCTCTTCTGCTTGCATCATTTTGAAAACTTCACCAAATTCAGATTTTTCTCCTGTGTTTACTACAATCCCCTGAACAGAGAAATTTGAAACATATGTTGCATTAAAAGCAAGCAGTTTTTGTAAGAACTTTCCTTAAAAAATTTTATCCTTATGATAATAAAAACAATAACTATACATCAAAAATTACAACATTTAGTGATACATTTCTGTGTTTAATTTATACCAGCACATGTTAATTTTTAAAATTTGTTAAACATAACCTCAAAGAGCTGCACATTGCCATGTTTGCAATTATTAATATGTAAACAATATTTCATACAGAATTTGTAGTTTGTTAATGACAAATCTTCAAACAAAAGTTCACATGTCTAGTTCCAGTTGTTCAGTACTTACCAGATGTAAAACTTAAAGGTAAATGTTGTTTCTGTGTGGCTGCCATATTGAAGTTTTATACTGTACAAAATATACTACCTTGAAACAATTTTTAAAATACATTACCACACAACATATCAGGACACACCACAAGTTAATATGGCTGCACAGTTTCATCATTTTAAATAAAATGCCCTTATTCATAACAAAGCATTATTAGTCTCATACATACCTTACCATTGCCACACCTAACAAGAGTACCCATGAACCCAATATTCTTCTTGGATGTGTGTCCATTTGATTTCAGCACTGGAGTTGTCATCTTCCCTGCAGGTTCTGTTTCTCCTGTGAAACTGCTTTCATCTATAGCTAAATCAATTGCCTACAAACAAAAATATATTGAGATAATCATACCTCAAATTTGGAATGCTTCATAACATATGAGGGGTCTAATTTCAAGTACAGTAGTCCCACATTTTATGAATGACAAAGAGAATTATCGTGTAAAAACGGTACAGCTATTGCTGTGCTTATGCTCCATGCCATGAATATATAAGGGGCAGTGGAGGTACTACCGCCACGGTGGTCTAGCAGTCAGAACACTGGTCTTGTAATCCTGGGGCCCTGGGTGGCGGTGCCCGAATTTATAACTTGTGTTGGGCAGGGCCGTGGTCTATGCAACACGAAGTTTTCCTCCAGGGCTTCCCCGGTTTCTCCGTGGCATCCCAAATAATTACTCAATACACACAGAAGAAGGCAATGGCAAACCACTTCTGTATCACCTGCCTAAAAGACATATATGAATAGGTCCCAGTCCGAGAAAAGGATGGAAGGATCCTGCTCGTAATATGTCACCAACCTCCAGTAAAGGAGACGGCATAATATAAAGAAGAAGTGGAGGTAAAAGCCTTTCTAAACTTCTTACCTTAACCTTTAGCCATCTTAATTACAGCTGTTATAAATTTGTATTAATTTTCAAAATCATAAATGATAGTAATTTTTAAATACGCTCTGCAAGTCTTCCATATGTCACTTTGTAAACTTTGGCGTACATATATTTGCTGCTGAAGGAAAAGGATATAAATGGTAAGCAATAAACCATTTCTCATACTAAATAAAATCCACAAATTATACCTACCTCAAACAATCTGATGTCAGCAGGTACTCTGTCACCTACATTAATGTGCACAATATCACCAGGAACCAGATTTCGAGCAAGAAATGTTTCCAGCTGACCTTCTCGTAAACTGAAAATACAGTGTTTCAGGAAGACAGAGGATAAAACATACCAAATATTAGTCACAGAACTTCAATGATAATATTAAAATATATTTAAAAATATAGGATGTTAAGTTGGGCATTGGATTCGGTGACTCAGAAACTCAGAATGTTGCTAATAAACATTTAGGTTCTGTAAAAAGTTGAGATTTTCTTGAGACTATGAGCCAAGCTGTGAAATGATAATTCACAATTCAAAAGACACATTTATTAATTGGAATACTCGTAATAACAGACTCATATCATACAGAATTTACAAAATATACTTACCAATGACAACTTGGTGGGACAAGCTTCGTAAGTTCTTCTAATGACTTTTCTGATCTGTATTCCTGAACAAAGGCCACAGTGACAACTATAATAATGGCCTGGAAAGAAAAACCTCAGCTTGATTACATAAATTACACAGCATTATCTCTGCAGCAACCAGAAGTTACAGCGGACAAGATTTCTTTCCAAAGAACAGACTACGTCACATACAGGGTCAGTACAGTCTTAAAACATGTATGCAGAGAGAGAGAGAATTTAATTTGCCTCAAAAGTGATAGCAGCAATGGTACTTAAAATTATGCATTCAGAATAAGCCATAACAAATGATACTAAGTTAGGTGATATTCAACGATTAATCTTCATAACAGATGGTGGGGGCACATGTAGAATTTCCACACACAGAAAATTAGTCGTACCAGGGAACACAATTACAAAGTAAAAGTCCTTCTTTAATAAATGACCCAATGCAAGAAACATTATTTCATAAAAGAGTTAAATAAAGAAACATGATAAAATTACTGTCACATCATTCAATCATATTTGTAATGTTCATGTTATATACTTTTCACATACAAGATTTTTGAAAGTCAAATCTATGGTGATTGGTTCTAACAATAAAACCAGTGTTAATTACGGTGCGCGACAGAAACTGACAAGAGTTGGTCCAAGTTTTAAAGGCATACTGTGTGCTATTACATCAGAAATTAAAAGACATAACAATCAGAACTTCACCATGGCTGCAAAACCAACTTACCACAGTTATGCTGACTGCATCGTCAAACTGTTTCATGCCCACACTCACTAGTGCTGAGGCTAAAAGCAGCATGATTAGGGGATTTTTGAACTGAAATAAAAAACAACAAAAAATAATGCACTGGACCAAATAACCACTAATCCATCTTTTACAGGTATTTACAAGTCTTTTCACCATGCAACATTATATACTGTCCCCATGACCTTAAATAAATGTGCAAAAGATTGTATACCATTGTGATTAATATACTTAATTGTTTTCAAATTTTTTGCTTGAGCTAAGTCACAGGATCAGTCTTGGAAGATGTATGGATTGAGTGAAACCATGTTCAATAGAAATGCTTTTCAAGAAAAAGTAATCTTATACTCCATTCTTCATGTAAAGTGCCCTTGATTTATTAAGTAAATACTGTACTTAACTAGAAGCAGTCTATGGTATAAATGCTTAACAAAACCAAAGATAAAGAAATACTAATACATTCTCTAGGTGACAAAGGAATGCACAGAAAGACGATGTTCCTCAAATCATTATTTCAGGCTCAAGGATTGAGAAATCATACCACTCTACTAAAGTCATAACAATTTCTGAGCAATGAAACTTACAAATAAATCAGCACTTGGTTCCATAACAAAGTTTTGCCACACCAACTTTGGATAGCATGCCAATGAACACACATTAAAACAAAACATATTGCTTGTCACTTGCTCTCAATTTAACAACTGGGATTCAGTTTTTAACACATTATTTTAAATGTTAGGCATGACTTATGAAGCGCTCTGATTGTAAGAGTAACCTTCCCGCCTTATTTTATCGATCTAAAATCACTTCCACAGACTGCTACACAACTGATACATAGTCTTTTGATTGAGCTAAGTACGAACCCTTAGCATACAAACCAAGAACCATTTTGCTTTGTTTCGTATGAACATGGAATGTCCTACAATTTAAAAACTACCAAAATTGTTCAGATCTTAAAATGCAGACTAAATTCTAAATTAAGTTCATGGTTACAATGCAACAAAGCAAAAATTCAGATCCACATATCTAACACTTACTTGTTCTATATATTTTTTCCATGTTGGTTCTTCTTCTTTGACTGTAAGCTCATTAAATCCAGCCAACTGCCTCCGCAGTTCTGCTTCCCTCCAACGAAGCCCTATCCGGACATCAGTACGGAGACGGGCTGCTACCTCTTCTGCACCCAAAGTGCTTGCATCACTAGTTGTGAGCCACATTTCCAATTGGCCCACCTAAACAAACTTGCTATTATTACTATCTATATAACTTTATTAATGTGCAATGTCTCTTATTGTCATTGTATATTTAATTCATGAGTGAATGTTTTAACAAATGGAAAACAAACCTAAATGTGTATTTGATGTAATAATGTGGCATTTCAACAAGCTCTCAGAAGGCCTAGATAAAATATTTCTTCAGTAATTCCACTTATAATACTTTTGGAAACTGTCTAGCAATTGTGTTGACTACACAGTTATTTGAATATTTTATATCTAAAGATTTGTAGAATTGAAACTGCATATACTAGTTTATACAGTACAGGAATGTACCGTAGAACCCACTGTGAGCCACAAATCAATATCAACAGTCCTACTTCTGACAGAACTCACCTCCCTTTCGGTTCCACTCTCCGGGCTTCCTATTGTTTCTCCATTAAATTCCTTGTCGGTGTGTAGCTGTGGTAATTTCTCATACTTCGCATTGTTAGAATGTTTCATTTTCAGTGGCAGGATGTTACCACAACCGCGTCTATTTTCTATTTACATGGCAAGACAATTTCCAACTGCACACATCCGCGATATCCCATGAGAAATGATTAAATTTCAAGGTTCTTTAAAACGAAGATACTCCACTCCATTAAAGTTCTATGGAGTTCAGAGGACCCACAATCTATTGTTTAAGTGCTTTGTTTTTAAAATGAAACTGAACTAATTACATAGTAACTGAAATAAATCACTTTATATTCAAATGTATGCAGGCGTACATAAACATGTAACCAACCCTTAAAGATAACTAGAAATAATAATTATATCTTCAATACGCAGTCTTTACAACATCTTTGCACATCGGGTTGTTTTAAAACCCGGAGAGCAGGTACTGAACGGAAACTATACTGCATCCACAGTGGCGCCTATATTGAATAAATTTCTTTATGATATTTCATTTCCATCACTAATTAGTGACACAAAACAAGTTGTGTAAATATTATCAGTCATTCAGAATGCTCATTAGATACAAAACATACCATCACCATAAACTTAGAAAGTTATATTTCCCTTCTAAACTGTCATGTAAAAATATTTCTCGTGTTATTCCGGATATGTATGATGATATATACTTCTGGTATTACCTAATTAAATACTAACCATTTAGTTTAAGAAGTTTCAGACAACTGAATATCTATAAAGTAAGTTAAATTTTCAACTCTAAATGACAGATCTGATTGGCTGATGTGGTCCAAAATATGTTATGTATCTTAAAAATTAACGTAGATCCCGAGATACACCAGGCAAAATTTAACTCCTTTGTACAATTTACAATGCATGTACGGTTAAAAACAATACAAAGCTCATAATTTGTACCTGTCTTGAGTCAGCTCAAAGGTCTACAATCCATACCCTCTTCTGTAAGATTCTTTACAATGTTATCTTCCATTCTACACCTAGATTTCCCAGCCTGAATCCCATCTTTTCCCTTCAGATGTACCAATCAAAATTCCATATTCATCAGTCATTTTCCTCACAAGTGTCAAATGTCCTGCCCAGCACAACCTCCTTAATTTACGTAATTACCCTAGTAATGTTTGGTGAAGAGTACAAATTGAGAACCCCTTCACTGTGTAATTTTCTCTATACTATTTTCCTTTTACGGCACAAATTATAACAGTGAGTGGCCATACCCAATCTCAAGCTGCAAGACAAACCCCTATCGGCTGTTTTCGAAAGCTTGTTCGGCATGTTCGAATCTGTCCTCTCTTTACAGAGGCCACCTCCTCTATCCTGCAACTTGAAAATGTGCATGCCACGACTACAAGAAACTAGTTTAACGTGACCTGGAGTTAAAAGAGTGTTGCTAATTATCTAAGAACCAGTCACAATGATAACAAACTCAACGGGGAATATTTATTGTGAAAGGCTTGTCACTATTCAGCTGGTCGAGAAATTACTTACATCTTCTGGAACCAGAAAGTTCATTGCTGATGTATCCAAAGATCCAGTTTAATATTATATTCAACTTTATACCAAGGCTATCTTTAAGGTTTCAGCTAAAACAATGTGTGACAATGAAACTCTTATTTTCAGCCATATCCATATCTATATCACGTCACATGAAAGGCGTGACGGATCAAAGAGTTTACATAAATACTACGACAGGAATCTGTCACTTCTAATATCTGACATATCTTTCTTCAAACGTCTATTCTCTTAACATATGAGTGTGTGTAGGTGCAAAGAGCTTAAATTATTTTAAAAGACTCAGTCAAGATTAATGGTTTCCGACCTTAAACCCAGACTGACTATTTCAAACTTCGATCATACAGCCTCAAAATCAAAGGTTTATCTAGAAGTTGGTTTGAAGGTCTGCTCCCTTCCGACATACTTGAAGTCATCATCATCCTTTCCCGTATTAGGTCGCGAGGCCTGTAACGGTCTTGTATTTCCTGTCCATCTCTTCTGAGGTCGGCCTAGGGATCTTTTCCCAGCAGGGCATTATATACTTGAAGTAATGCAATCAAACATAGAATTATTCTAGGACCAATTCTCGACCGTACTTCGAACTTCAAATATTCAGCAATTTACAGTCATTTGTCGAGAATTTTAGCGGACAGTTTCACAGTACCAGTAACAATTCTTCCCATGTTTTTATAACATATTGAAAATATAGGCTAACTAATCTCCAGAAAATGAGATGTGGCTGGAACTGGAACAGAGCACGTCCACCCAAGAAATAAATGTTGCCCGTGGTAGAGATTCTTTCATAATTATAAGGTAAACTACAGGAACGTTAAATGTATTTAATAAAGCATTACAACATTAATACATCCGACAGCAATAGTTTTAGATAGAGGAGAGTAGTCAGCTTCACGTTCTAGCCGCTTTATCCCCAGCTGGCCTGGACTTGGTTGGTAACAGAAAAGTCATCCCTGCCTGGAATCGAACCCTGTCTTCCTTCTGTAATTTCATAGACCTCATAAATCTGAACCCATGTTATTAAAGGATCAATATCTGTGACTCGCGATCCTACAAAAGGTCGGGCGGGCTGATCCGGAAGAACTGAGGAAAACCATGAAGACCATCAGGAACAATAGCTGATTCGAACTAAGTGCCTACCTCTCATACAAATCATACAGGCCTATATTACAATATTATTTGATACCACCAGCTGACAGAAGTCTTTAAAAGTAAATCAGAATTTAAACTACCAATTTCGAGAAGATATCTGTACTCTGCACAATTGTGGAGCTCGGAGATTGAAATGTCTTCCCACCTCCTCGAAGATCATCTGATTTTGATGACAAGAAGATAAAATATTAATCAAGTACCCCGAGAAACTTGCGAGAAAGTCGCTGATTATTGCGGACTGTCAGCACCAAGGACACAGGTGAAACACGGACTAAATACGTCGATCACGTGACAGATTTTTACTGAACGACAATACTTATAATTGTTTTTTTTGAACAAAAGAAATCTTACAGGGTTCCTGTCTGACGCTGTACTTTCGAACTGGAATTGACAAAAAATGCAAACTCTTTGTTGTTGGATTTAGCAATCAACAAATGTTTTGTCATGAAGGTGAAGCAGGCAGTTCATGTAGTGCTTTAAAGAGAAGGCTCAGATTAATCTATATGAAAAAACTGACCACAAATTGAAATATTACAGGGTTGAGGAGTATTATTTTCTGTAATCTCTCGGTCCAGTAATCTATGAGGAAATATTCTCTCTAATAATCGAGATAATCAAGCTGTCAGAAGTGTAAATTTATCTCTGCTGTCAATTAGATGTTATCTTCATGTTTAAATTTCAGTGAACAGCAGAAAACTAGACAGACACTTCAAGTTTATGCCAATAATCGGTAAAGCATTATCGGATTTTGTTGTTGGCTACTAATTTCATTTCAGGAGGCCTCTGCGGCTTAGGAGAGGAATCCTCCGTGATTGGGAGTAAAGGGACCGTGCCCCCTTTTCCAGTCGCGCCCTGACATTTGCGTCACAACTGAGGAAAAGGACACAAAGACCCCAGCAATAAAAGCCTTGGTAGGAACAAGTGTCTTACAAGTTGCCTAACTAAGGGGAGATTACTATTGACCATTAGTTTATAATAGACATAAAGATGTACAGAAGTGGGAAAGGAATGCAGCTGTCAATAAACGTGCTTCTTTTGTGGAATTATGGACGCTGATAAAGATGTCGTTAAACTTAAAAACGTGACTTCGAACAGAAAGTACCACAAACATTTCCATCATATCGCACAAAGCTCGTAAGTCCTCTTGAAACTATTAACACTGTCTTCATATGGCATTATTATCAATAATAAGGACTTACTCGCTGGCACAGAACATCGCGGTCGAATGATTAACACTCCTGCTGCTTTGTATTCGGGAGGTCTGACGAAAGGCTGTTCAGTGGATTATCGTGATCTTTCCCAGTCCCTCCAAGCACATGCCTACTTCATCTGGTTTTGTACAATGCCAAAGATCTGTGGTTATAAATTACAAGTCGCGAGAGTTGAGGTATAACACAAAACTTTCCTCAAAATAAACAAAATTTTTAAAAAAATAAATCTATGCAGCCCGAATTTCCGATTTCAGTTTTAAAATAAACCTGTAAGGGACTACAGTCAGACTTAAAACAAAATTTATAAGTGACTGATATGAATCATAATTACATTCACCTGACAATCTTAATGTATATTTCCAACGCAAAATTTTATCGAAAACCATTAAATAGTTTGAGAAATGGAACAGCCAGTCCAAACAACAATGTGCTATTCTCATTTGTTAAACGTGTATATTAATGAGGTTAAGGGCGTCAAATATTATCATTAACAGCATAAAACTTATCACTCAACAACACTCGCATGTTTTTAGAAACAAATGGCAAAATCACAATCAAATTGTAATTTCCGGCACGTTGAAGTATGCTGAGTGTCCTTGGCAGTTCACGGGTTACATGTTCTACGAGTAATTGCGAGAAACCAGTCCCAACACACGACAACGGAGTCATTATGATTAGATTATGCGTGTTTCAGTCTCTCCAAGGGAGTACCTGAACAGTAATTTCGAACAAACATTCTTGAGGAGCTGACAATCGCTGAGACAGTCAAGAAATTTGTCCGCATTTTAATAAAACCCAAAAAATGTGTTTACAAAAGCCCACCATTGAATCCACCCTCAGCTGATCGAATCCATCACATACCTTCATCATGTTTGTTTAATATCTGTTGTGATATTACCCTCCATCTACTACTAGGTCTATTAAGTGCCGTATTTCCTTCAGTTTTATTTTCCGAAAAGAAAAAATGTTTCGTTATGTAACGACACTTCTGAACTGTGGTCAATATATTGCCATATGGTAAAACAATTTTAAAGGATAAGAAAGGAAGTGGTCGTGACATATTTTAAGACAGGTTCGAAACCATTCGACTGGAGGGAGAGGTGAAAAATGCTAGAATCCAAGACTGGATGATGAATGTCAGAGCGAAGGACCTTAAGTATGAACCATGACGTTCGACGCTAAGTGGCGTGGCCTTGATCAGAGGTCGAATATCGGTACTAATGCGACTCAAACTGAAGTACTAAGTAGGAAGAGCTCGTATTGCAGGAGGCTGGATGATTGAATACTAACCACGATCTGAAATATCCCTGATAA